TTTGTCGCAAACACTTTCTCTGAACAAAGGTTTTCAACGCTTAAGCACTATTTTTCAAGGTCTAAAATAAAGAATTTCAAGTTGTCCAGAAATATTCAAAAGTGGGTTGTGCTGGAGGAATTTTTCATAAAGCTTTAGCTAGATATTTTCTCTTCCCAACTGAATCTGATCACTAATGCAATAACTCCTGCATTTATGGTATACCCTTGCGGGTGTAATAATTGAAAACGATGTTAATTAAGTTGTCGAGAAGTTCTTATCGAAACCGGGGTCTATTTGCCATCCTAACATTGAAAAGAAGGTACAAAAATCACACTACACAGCCCCAGCTTACATGGGTTTATTATACCTGTCATGTACACAGGCCTTGTACACCCACACACATTTTAGTGCACTCTTCCACAGCAGGTATGGGAAACTGTCCTCAAATTGAGCAAATGGGTGAAAAGGGGAACAAGAGATCGGCGGAAATTGGAAATATTTAGTGACCATTTTGTGCCTAAACTTGGTATTCACGTTGCATCACCTTGCACAATTCTGTCTTTTGTTTCTTGCTTTTCTTATTCAGTTTTAACCTTTCTGAGCACAAAGGACGGGTTTCGACCCAATTGGTGCATTAAAAAGCCTTTTTAAATAATTGGGCTGAGTAGAGGGTGCCTAGTTGGCTGACTTTTCTGTATGGTTTACAAGGTCTGGCAAGTAACCACTGCACTTGTTTTTAAACCGTTCTTTCCGCCAGCAGAATGGAAGTGAAACAAACGATAAAGCAGGAAGCACAAACCACACACACGTCTAAAGAGTGTCTGACAAATTGAAGCAAATTATTGAAAGAAAGTGTTCAAACATTTTTTAAAAACTTGTTTGGACTCTATGGCTTGAAAGGTATTTATGAACGGGGAATAAAATAACATATTCTCCACCGGCTCATGATAATGGACGCTTATCTAATATTCCTCAGCACTTGCTAATCGCATTCTACGCCAACTTAGATTAACTCGGCATGTGTGCACTAATCTCGATAATAGCATTGTTTTTACGATTTCTTTCAAGAGGAACATATCTACCACGGAAAGAGGAATATTTGACAAAAAGACGAGCAGAACAAAATGGTTGAAAATGTGTAATTCTTGAAACGTGTTCTGAATTTTTTACTCAAAGGCATGGATGAATGGGGATGAACAGTGCTGGGTCTGAACTATGCTTCATCCAAAGTGAGCAATACAGATTCGATTTAATCTAGGGACATCGAAATAATTTAATCCCGCTCACGTTGTTATTTTTTGGGAGAAAAAAAAGTCTGAAAATAAGAACTGAATCAAAAAATTGGATAGAAAAAAGTCTTCATCCATACATAAATCTCCTACGCACAAAGCAACCTTGAGACTCCACTTTGCTTTACAAACAGATGAACGACCATTGTGCAGAATGAATGTTTGGGTGACTACATGGTTTCAGCGACAATTACGACAGCGAAAACAAAGTCGGCCTTTCTTTGGATTTGGCAGTTCAAGAACTTAATTAAGGAGGTATAAAGAAAGAGGTTTGACTTACTCGCTAGAGCAACTGCCATCGCTAGGATAAGAAAAGTCTTCATGGTGAAGATTGACGGAAGGTGGAGCCAGTAGATGTTGTTAAAATACTGGTTGGGATGCTGTGTAAAGTGCAACTAACCTGCTTCCTCTGACAAGGAAACTATTGGAGTCAGTGGTTAATTTCTGCAGTGTAGCGGCATATACATTTAGTCTCATTATTTTTCTCAAATTTCAGCCATTAGGGCTATTGGAAAACAAAAGCTGCAACACACTCCATGACATAAAATATATGTATTCCAAAACAGATGTGCCAGTATAAGCAAGAACTTCGACATCAGTATGAAGATTATTAAACGGAAAGTCCTTAATTTCGAATAGGTATCAACCTCAAAGCACAATACCTCCCCAAACTTTTTTCATTCTTACTTGTTCTTAATGTGTTACATTACAAAATGGTCAAATATCACAATCATCGAAAATACAATCAAAATTTCCAAATGTTTTATTCACTCTAGCCATTGTGTACACCATAAATTGTTCATTGGTAAGTTACTGCTGAAGTAACCACAGGGACCAGTTGTAACAATTTTGGGGATGTGATCTTCTGAAATTTGAAGTTTGAGTTGATGCCACTTCTGAGACTTTAAAGTGTTGAGTTGAATTAATTGATGTTGAATAAAAGTTTCATTTTGCCAGTGGTGTGAGTGCTTTGTGTGACATTATTTTTTACTTTGAATGAAGACTGGAGAAAAGTTTGCGGCATGTGTATTGTTTTAGGTTTTATTTCTGTGTGACAAGACAAATCTATAGGGACTTAACACCAAAACTGTATAGAAAATGTAACACAAATTTTAGGTGTAAATTCCATGCTTTTGGGTGTAGTACTTAAGTGACACACATGAAGCGTTAAATCATCATTTAAGGGTCAGTGCAGTCAGTGTCTTCATAACAGCAAGTTTTGTTTTAACCTTCACTCTGACACCCACGGGTGTAGTGTTCTGATAGAATTTTATAGAAGTTGTAAAAGTAATATCTATGGTGTTTAATTTAACCTCTTCTTTTAGGGGTGTTACTTCCTGACCATGAAATATAAATTACTTTAAAACATAATTGGAAAGCAGTCATTCCTCTGACATCTAGTGATGAAATACAGAAATTGAGTCCTGTTTACTCTTTCACAAGCTAGGATTTGTAACTTTCTTAGCAGAACCTACTTTTGGTAATAGGATTTGGAAAAAAGAATGAGAACTAGGGAGAAGAATGTCACAGCAGATTTTTAGAAATTTCTCGTAGTTGAGCTAAACATCAACTCCTAAAATGGATAGAGGGGAGTAAGCAAGCTTACTAGCAAGCCAAGAAAGCAGGAATTGGGAAGAGGCAAGCAAGCAGGGGAGCCTAACGGGGAGGTAAGTAAGTATGCAAGGAGTCAGTAAGCGCTCACGCACACAGGGGAGCAAGTGAGCAAATAGTCGAACTCAGACAAACGAACAAAATAAGCAAATCGTTACCATTAAAAAAAATCTCCAGGATGTTAGTGAATGTAGATTTATCAAAAGACTGCCTTTTCTCAGGTGCAACAAGGCATTCAATTTCGCACTGATGTGTGAAAGAAACAATGTGATTTAATAATAACAATTTAAGCATCGATAGGGAACAAAAGAGTGCAACTGTCAGGTTATGTTTGCATGTGTATAATGACAATATTATGCTTGTGTAAAAACAAGTCTTGGATATGGCAACCCTACTGCTGGCGGCCATGTACACTCTTAAGTAGAAAATAATTAGATTTCTAATAAGTAACAGTGAATTTCAGAAACATTTATATAAGAAAGTGCATTTCAAAGACTTTCTACCAACAAAAAAATAACATAACTAATTCCGTACGTTTCATCAATTAGAAAATAAGTTTAGTGAAAAGTACAAGTCCAACGTTAAATACAAAAACCAGTCTGCATTATTCCATGTATTTATTTTAAATCAGACGTATCCAACCGTTTCTACGTTATCGACTGTTATCAATACTGAAAACACTACTATAAAGTAAACCGTTACCCTAGTATTTGTTCAAGACATTTTTGGCTCTTGAAAGGCCGTTACNTGAACCAATAGTACGTTATAGTTTCGGGGCAATTCGAAATGGTGTTAAATAAATTGTACACATACCCTTCTCACCACTTTTACTGTTATTATAATAAAAGAGATACAATCCCGATACCCCAATATCATCGGAGATGCGGTTCAAGGTCTGGCCTGATCCTCATCTATACCATAAGCTAAGCAAAACAGTACCTTTGGACAGTGAGAATGAGGTTTTCTTTCGACAGAAAATAATTATAAATGATTTTTGTGACGGATGTTTCCGTTCCAAAATGTCTGTATTCAAACAATTAAAATGGTTTTCATATTCAAACTCATGTTACAAAAATTTTATTACAGGGGAATTCCTAATTGTTGCATGCAATCAATTTAACAATCTACTGTTAAACTGATAAAAAACGATTAAATTTGGCAACAATGCCTTCGTTCAATTGAAACGATCCACAACATAAAAGGAATTAATTATTACAGAAAGTTTCGGGCAGTTTCAGTTTTGGCAAATGAATATAAATAGCAATTTCCGAACATATAGTGTGTTTTGTTTTCCTGTAAGTTGTACTTAAACCAGAAGCTGATTTTTCTTCCTTACTGAAGGGGATTAATGTGATATTGTGAGGAAGAGGGATCGAACCCTAATTCCTTTTGTGTAGAAAAAAAAACTTACTTTGTAAACTATCAAATAACTGCGTGGCACACCACCATTTGTGCGGCCTTCTTGCTTTTCACTTACTTTTCAGTGCCTTTAGTCTTACGTTTCAGTGATAGGTCTTACCCGTTTTTATACGCATTGTATCCTTGTATTTATGTGAATGTTTGAAACTAGTACTATGATGTTTTATCGGCCTCTGATTTGTTAGTAATTGCCAATTTTCCTTATCAGCTTTTTGTTATTCGTTTTACATCTCACATAAAGTGTATTATAAATTTGCAAGTGTTTTTGAAATGTTAAGGCTCTACAGAAGACCATCGTAGGCAATGCTGGATAAAAATAATAAGCAATAACAATCATAAAACAGGTTTCCTTTCAACTTCAACGCATGTCCTACTCTGATTTGTAGGAACTTAGCTAATCTGTAATTTGAAATTTAAGCGCTGTGGAAAATAACATCCAATATTACTAAAAAGGGTGTAGGGCTCTGATTATTTGTTTTGCTTCTTTTTGCGTCCGCCTAAATTTTAGATAATTGCTCTACAATAAATGTCCAATGTTTCAAAAAAGAAAGAGGGATTCGCTGTGCAAATCTATGCAAATGTGAAATGTCTCAAAAAAGGAATGTTTGCTAAATCAGAGTCTCATAGAAGAGGCATTTGCTGTTCAAACCTAGGTAGATGTCCAATACGCCACAAATAAACAAAACATCTGCTGTTCTTAAATACTATGTGATTTTCAAATGTTCAACATAAAACAACGTACCTGTCGTGTCAAAGAAGCAGAACAGTTAATTAATGTACATGTAGCTATAATTCAACTCTATAAAAGTTCAGTCTTCGTCTTTTATGCCTCCGACTGTATCGACTGAATGTTTTAAACTTACCCGAAACTTGGGAGACAAAGATTTGATCGTTAAGGTTGATCGTCAGACAAGGACCAGACTTCGTTGGAAGCACCCGTAGCCTATATACAGATCTTTTTTCACCCACGTGACTGGATTGCCCTTAATGGAACCAATACCACCATGTGTGGACCGCTTTAGATACGGTGATCGCACATAGTACGGGCGGCTTCAACCACGTGCAAGCGCACGTGCGAACACTGCATGTGCGCTCTTCTCACATTGAGTGCGATCCCTCTTTATTCATTAAAAAAATGAACTAAGAATAAGTATTCGTTTTACTTTCTTAGACAACAACAAAAAAGGCACTCAAACAACCATTCCAAGATCGCAATTTCCAGTAACAGAGATCTCGACCAAAAGATGTCCAGCCTTGTTCACTAGGGCCATTATATTGGCGGGGAATGAATACACTGCAAGAAATTGCCCGCCTCCCCCCCAAAAAAGAAAAACCAATTTATTGAATTACCCTCATGAATTATTCATTATTTAAATGTGCAACCAAGAATTTTCATATTCCTTCATAGGAAAAGAACTTATTTACATGATATAAATTTTAAAATCTTACGGCCAAGGACTTGGGCAGGCTCTGTACCGAAGGACTACTCTACAGGTGGCAAAAACAGATATTTGATGATACAAATAAGCTGGAAGTTGAGCTCATAGTGCTGATGTCAGAGTAACAATTTCATCACCTTTCCTCGTAATCGTATTTGCCCAGTCATGTATGACAGTTACATAATGGATGTGTACAGTTTCCACTTTCATACGTCCCTCTATTTGAAAGTTGCACCGATTTCCGATAATTTGTATTTAGAGAGACGTCCTTTTTATGGACACCCTGTAAATTTGCAAAAACTTGGTAAAATATTACACTTTGTATTTAAAATAAAATTAATACTTTACTTACACAGGGTTTCTTTACTTTTAACCCCAAAATAGTGTACAATTTACCTACTCGCTTTTACCGAGTTAAAAGGTAAATTTACTGCCATTTTTTTAATGTAACCTTTTGCCACACTTTTAAGAACTTACCTTCTGTGTAAAATTTTACACAACCTGTGTACTTTTCTTCGTGTGTAGTAAAAGTATTTTCTCAGGTGCTGTAACATATTAGTCCTAATAACAAGAGCCATGTTACGCCGGAGGGGGGAAGGGAATTCCACCCCCGCTCCAGAATTTTGGCTGCTCCATGCATGATTTTTAAAAATTCGACATGTGTGTACAAACACACCGCATCAGAACAAGGTGACTCTTAATTAAATTCACTATTAATTTCAAGTTTCGGTGATATCACGTTTAAGGCAAAATGCGTTACGTTCCAGCCCGCATGCATTGAGAACGACAGTGGAGAAGTGTAATTCTTTTGGCTGGCCTGTCTCGGCAAACGAGCAGTATGTCGAAATGACAGCAAAGAGTTACCAAAAAATCATTAAGGTTCGGCTTATGTTGCAATAATGGCATAAAATGTAGAGGGGGGGGGGCTGATTCCACCCCAGTTCTACCCCAGTGCTACCAACTCGAAAAGAAGCATTGGCAACTATCTGGTTCGTAAGTGTGACGTCACTCCAGTTTAAACCACGCCCACTGCACATGCACTGCACATAGAGTTACGTGCATTGTTCGCCGTTTGCATGAAATTTGAAACCGGAAGTTAACGGGTAACTTCAGCAACCGTCCAATAAGAGACTGCAAATCGTGGCGCGT